TTTCTATTCCTTCTCCCCCACATCTCCCCCTTTTTTGTTTAACTGCTGCAAAAGCCAAACTGTTTAAGGTGGTATTGATCAGTCAGCATACTATTTCAATTAGGCACAGCAAACAGCAAGCAAAAGCTCTAAATACTAGTAACAGAATTAATCCTACAATTATAAGTTTCTTAACACAAGTCCCTAATCCATCGAGCCAAGGCACCTCTTTGAATCGGTTCCACCCGTCACTTCCTTGCAACTTCTTCGATAATTTTTCCAAATCTTCTTCACATTCATGTCCTTGTGTAAATAGCAAAAAGCTATAGCAGTTCTACTTTGTAAAGTAGCATAACGTGCTGAATCAACCTCTAGAAGCAAAAACTGAAGGAGCTGAACTAATTGCATTGTTTAGTTTGCTAAACTAACAGCCTAATTTGTTACGTGTATTCATTGCATGTGTGGTTCTTCCACTGGGTACCAAGGCTCCAGCTACAATTTGCCCGGGATCCCAAGACTCTAGTAAAGCTTGGTGTGAGCAAGGTTAGTTAGTGTGAGCAGGGCTAGTCTTTAGAGTTTGGTGTGAGCAAGGTTAGTCCTACAAGTTCCCCGCACGAATGTGGAGGGGCATGCCTGGCCAGGCTCGATCATCACAGAGGAAACAAGATGCCTCAGGGCAATTGTAGGGGGGCATTGGTGCCTGCCGAAGAATTTATCACAGTTTCATTACACCTCACAGTTTTGTTTTGGTATACTAAAAAGGTACTGTCAGCCCGCCATGTTCTGGTCTGATTACTTCCAGTATAATTTAAACAGAAAACAAATCGACTTATGGTTTGTGTTCTTCAGGGTCCTTTTCAACAGTCTTACCTATTTCTCACCTGGAGGAAGTGTATCATCCCAATTATCCCACCTCTCAAAGCACTCCGTAACGTTATTAACTGTCGTATTACACTTTGCGCCTCCCGACGTCTTCCTTCTTTCTACCTTTCCTCCTATCACCCAGCTAGCTGGCGAGCGCTGGGTCCAAGCCTTATATGGAAGCAAAGTTCATCTTGCAAAGTCCATTGGTTGTAGCATCGACCTCGCTTTTCTCACTTGGCTCTTGTTTTACTTCTCCCATGGCTTGCGGCCAACAAGACAAAGGCTATCTCCAGCATCCAGCTCAGCTGCCGGATCCGCGTCTGCGGATTCTGTGCTTGTTCCCACAACTCCCCCTTCTTCACTAAGAATAAAACCAGAAGCTATTGCTTTGCTTATAAGACGCTGCCTACACTGCAAGATACAAGGGATACAGATGAGAATACATAAAAAAATACTCACACAGAAGAGGAACACCTTTACTGGTGACGTTACCCACCCTGTCAGGCCCCATCACTGAGCAGCCAGTCCAGCCACCCCCAGCCCTCATCACTCTGCAGCTTTCGGACATTGCCTTCCAGCCGCTGGATGCTCTTGTGGATGGATTTGGAATGATCAGACAGGTTCATACAACACATACCTCCTCTTTTTTTTT